AATTTATATTCTATTAAATTTGTAACCCCCAAGAGAATATTGGTTGGGAACGTAGATTTGGGATATACATCTATATTAAATAAATTGTGAAAACATGAACAAATTACAAATATAAGAAAGTAGCACGGGACCGAATATTTGTTGAATCGTCATTGAATTATACTATGATGAAAAATATGGACTAAATGGGGTCTCCAATTTACAATTTAAATGACAAAAAAATTAGTTCCCATATTACGGAAATGGGTGTGAAAGAGTAATTATATTTGACTATTCTGAAATCAGTCTGACCTCAATTATGAGGTGGATAAAACTATTTTTACTTATTTAAATCACGTGATTTTTTTCAGTTTGACATGCTATGTTGTTCTGCTATATTTTCGATTTGGCCTCTATTTGTCATCGATGTGACATCGCATTTTACCTTATTTCAAAGGATTCGGCTAAAAATGTGTATTTGGGGGTGAAAATCTTACACAAAAATTTCAACATATCTACAAATTTTAGAATTTTCGCCATGTAATAGTACCGCCTCAAGTCCACCTTTTGGCGGACAAACAGACCGACATGGTTAGGGGGACTTATGAGGACTCTAATGCACAATCTGAGGTGCTAATGGGTTTAAAAAAGTAATTAACTTTGGCTATTCTTAAATCTATTAGCCCTCAATTATGAGGTGCACAAAGTACAGTAAATTCCAAATTACTGCTCATTTGACTAAAAATTAAAAACTAATCGACCAGTACGTGAACATTTATAACATTCATATCTTTGAATAACTATGCTTTGACAAATATGCATAATAGACAAAAACTACGGGCCGGCAACGCGGACCGGGCCAGCTAGTATATATATATATAAAAGAAAGTTGTGTTAGTTACTACGCTTATAACTTAAGAACCGCTGAACTGATTTTAATGATTCATACAAATTCGGAATTGTCTCCTGTCCGAAAAGGATAATATCCAAAAAAATCGCGTAAAAATGTAATATATTAACATTTTCATTTTGACTTACTTTTTTCTAATGTACATTTATAGTGTTTTTTATATTTTATTTTTGAATTCGAATATTAATACCAATTTATTTAATTGACTTGATTTCTTGAGAACTGAAATTGATGGCGGATTACATGGAAGTGAAGTACCGAATTATGTGGTGGCGGAACGCGACCACACCAAAGTTAAAAGATAATTACTAAAGAGATCTCATTGCAAAAATTCTCAAATCAGGAGAATATCGAAAAAAATGTCAATGGAATTTAATTTTAAAATAAAAGTACATTCTATTGACAAACTTTGTAAGGATCTTTAAACAGTTGCTGTAAAAATCTACGAACAAGTTGAAGATTTTTTCAATTTGTTATTCTTCTTTTGTCTTTTTTTTTCAATTTGTATTATCATATTGAATTCATTGGATTTTTTGTGAACAAAATAAAGAAAAAATTTTCACTTTATACAATTTTTCACCAAAAAAAATGAAATAAATGCAAAATACGATGTTAACTGACATCTACCTTTCAACTCCAGGGCCTACATCGTGCTTCAGCTGGAAGATGCGCACACATATAAATAAACAAAAATGACCGAAAAAGACTAATGGGGCTCATTTCGATGCGTGTACCCACTTCTTTCAAAATGCAAAATTTTTTGGGAGTACAATCAGTGAAATACCAAATATGAAGGGTGCAAACTAGTAGAGAGAATGGGACTTTTAGTAAGAAAAGGATTTCTATCCTTCCAGAAATTCTTCCCAAACATTTTGCAGATCATGATATCGATCATAACTCACGCATAAGGTTACAACCCGATTTCACATTTAAATAACCATCGTATGATTTAAGCTATTTTCGGGGACTTGGACACTTTTTTATTTTTTGGCCCTTATTTGGCATCTTTGTTTCTAAGGGGGTAGAGAACCTCTTCGCATTAAATTTTTGGAGTAAAATTTTCGGAGCCATTATTGGTGTTGACCACATTCATTGGCTAAAAAATTGTATTTACCCTGGTTTAAGGAACCCTCATACAGATAATTGCCATATATAAATTTATTTAAGTAAAGTCCTCACATTGGTGTATCCCCAAGTCCACTTTCACATCTAATGTGTGGTATTCTATTGAATTTGTAACCCCCAAGAGAATATTGGTTGGGAACGTAGATTGGGGATGTACAAATATAAGAAAGTAGCTCGGGACCGAATATTTGTTGAATTGTCATTGCATTATACTACGATCAAAAATATGGACTTTATGGGGTCTCCAATTTACGATTTAAATGACAAGTAAAATTAGTTCCCATCTTACGGCAATGGGTGTAAAATAGTAATTATATTTGACTATTCTGAAATCAGTCAGTTATGAGGTGGACAAAACTATTTTTACTTATTTAAATCACGTGAATTTTTTTCAGTTTGACATGCTATGTTGTTCTGCTATATTTTTGATTTGGCCTCTATTTGTCATCTTGGATTATAAGGGGTGAAAAAAGTTTTCAATGTAGGTCGATGTTTCGCAGTAGTGCCCATATAAAGGTACTTCCTGATTTTACCATATATCAAAGGATTTGGCAAAAAAATGTGTATTTGGGGGGGTGAAAACCTTACACAAAAATGCCAACATATCTACAAATTTTAGAATTTTCTCCATGTAATAATACCCCCTCAAGTCCACCTTTTGGCGGACAAACAGACCGACATGGTTAGGGGGACTTATGAGGACTCTAATGCACAATCTAAGATGCTAATGGGTTTAAAAAAGTAATTAACTTTGGCTATTCCTAAATCATTCAGCCCTTAATTATGAGGTGTACAAAATACTGTAAATTCCAAATTACTGCTCATTTGACTAAAAATTAAAAATTAATCGACCAGTACGTGAACACTTATAACAGTCATATCTGTGAATAATTATGCTTTGACAAATATGCATAATAGACAGAAACTACGGGCCGGCAACGCGGACCGGGCCAGCTAGTATATTATAAATAAACACTAAAACATTAAAATAAATATGTAAAAAAAAAATAATTTTTTAGTTTGAAAAAAAAAGAATTCAACACGTTTGCTTTAAAAACTGTCATAAATAGTTTTCTCCGTAAATATGATATTTTTATACCTGCATCATATTGTGGTAAGGGTGCATTTCTGAATTTTGTGCATTTGCTTGTAACATAGAGTCATAGAATCACTTTTTGAGTCGATTTATGCATGTCAGTCCGTCTGTCTGTTTTATCCTATTTGATGTTTAAGTCTCTCACATTCGTAATATGCACTCCACAAGAATGATATTTGGTACCAGATATCAGATACAGCCCAGGAATACATCTGTTAAATTTTATCGAGATCTTATCAGATTTTGATGTAGCTCCCATATATATCTTTATCCGATATCACGATTACGCCCCTCGCATGCGTAATATGATCTTTGATACCAACAATGATCTTTACCAGGCATAAGATACAACTCAGAAATAAGAACCTAACATTTTGTCAAGATTGGTTCAGATTTGGATGTAGCTCCCATATATATTTATATCCGATTTCACGTTTATTGTGCACTAAATGATTCAGAGTTGGATACAGTTCCCAAATCGTGACTACTTTAAGCCATGAAAGCACGGCTCCGCACTACTTTTCACCTTTCCTTACTGGTTTTATATTTCAAATTGTGTACCAGCCAAACAAAAAAAAAACTTCCCATCCAATATCTATTTTACCTGTACTTGGGAGAAAATGACCTTAGGTTTTTATATAGTATCCTTTGGCGTTTTGGTACTAACCCGTCGGACTGTTGCTAATATTTTTTAAAATGTTTAAAAAGGTGAAAAAAATCCAAAGGTAATATTTTTTTTTGGCGGTTAAAAGTTTTTTTTTTCATAAAATTTACATTTCAACGTTGTGTAACAGTAAATCCACCAAAATTGAAGAAAAATTTAACCTATATTTAACAAATAATAAACTTAAACGTAGAAGGTACATGTAAATTTGTATCAGACAAAATAATTTTTATATATTAAGATTAGAAATGGATATGAAACATAGTCATATGTCGGCCTTGAAACCCCATATAGATAATGCTATTTGAGCCATATTTGATTATAATGGAAATATGAAGTCTCAGATATTAGCATTTTTAACCAAATATATAGGACGAAATATTAAAATATCATATCGATATCTTAAAAATATCTCTTAAATAATCTAAAATCTCTTAAAAGTAGTTAAGTTTCAAAAAATAAAGATAGCTAAATAAGATAACTCAAAAATTTACACAAATTACATCAGTAGAGTTATCGTGTTCTCTACAAAAATGGTAGTCTATATCTAAAAAAATACGACACATAAGTGCAGTTCCGTACCGCTAAAGACTGACTACATCATACACAGTGAAGCCATCTGGAGCGATATTTGCTACGAATACTTGATACGCAATAGTTTACATTGTTCAAATTATTTAATGAAAGTTTTAGACATCTATCTTGGTTTTTTTGAATGCATGCGGCACTTATTTACATTAAAACAAACGTAAGTTCAATTTATATTTTTAGAATGCTTGTGCTGCTGATATGTTCTCAAGTTTACCTTTTTTAAACTATAAAACTACTTTTCTGATTCTTGCCTTTTGAATTGGGTCTGTAGTATTAAATATAATATATATAATTGTACAAGCAAAAATAGGTTTTCATTTTGATACATGAAGGTGGCGTATGACTAGGTTTGAAGAACAATACATTGTCCTGATCCGAATAAAAATGTATTTTTTTATTAGGGTATTTCCATACATTCCTTTTAGATTGTTTGCTTATGTTTCTCACCAGTATGGATTTTTCGGAGAATTGAATACCAACCAACTGAGCTGATCAGCATCCCAATTAAAAACATTTGAGAACAAATGTTTATGCCTGGCAGGTCGAACGTGTGTATACGTGCACATTGTTCTATTTTATAGCGGAGTACATGATTTTCTGCTGAGAGCAGATTGCTATTTTAAGATTTTTAGTGTGCCTCTGTCTCTGTGTTGGGAAGCGTTTAAATTCAGTATTTATTTAGCCACTGGCGGGTAGACATAAATACAAAGAACTCATGTCGTTGTGAAATTCCGCAAGAGGAGGATATTTTTACTTGTGTCATGCATCATAATGACTTTTATTCGGGTTCTATAAGCCACTCTAGTGAACCCAGACAAGGATATGTTTACAGGACCAATACAAATCGAAAGACACATTTAATCAGGCCAAAATATTTCCGTTGCAATAATGTCGCCATAGAGAAACGTCGCCATTCTTTGGACGGTGTTGAAGTCGAACCAGTGTTTGAAAATTTTCGCCCTGGTGTTGTATATGCACCAACACATAACAATATTGAAAATAGCATGGGACATGTCGCCTATAGAAGATATTTGGGTGACGACGAATATATCGACGAATCGTTTGTTGACCAGGAAGAAGTGTCGGAAGTCATTGATACCAATAATGTTGTTCAAAATTTAACAACGTTTGGTCGATTTTTAGAAATGCTACAGGGGATGCCTCTACCGCGTCTTTCGCTTACAACATCGTGCATCTTTTTTCTTATAGCCATATTCATATCACCGAGACCATGCGCTCAAAATATAATATTTCCTGCTTTCAGATTGTCCTTTGGTACACTGTACCCAGCCTATGCCTCTTATAAGGCCGTCCGCACAAAGAATGTTAAAGAATATGTGAGTATTGCTGATCTCGCACTGTTCATATTGGTTATAATTCTTGTCTTATTAAACTGCAGGTCAAGTGGATGATGTATTGGATCGTTTACGCATTTTTTACGTGCACAGAGACCTTTACCGATATCTTCCTATCATGGTTTCCATTTTACTATGAGGTCAAAGTGGTTATTGTTCTGTGGTTGTTGTCGCCAGCAACAAAAGGCAGTTCAACGCTGTATAGAAAATTTGTTCATCCCATGTTGACACGCCGTGAACAGGTGCGCAGCTTTTTAAATGTGTTAAAGATAGACAAATGGAATTTTAAAATTATTCATGATGTTATATTTTTTCTATAGGAAATAGATGAGTATCTCAACCAAGCCAAAGAACGTGGATATTCTGCTGTATTACAATTAGGTTCTAAAGGTGTCAATTATGCCACAAATGTCATTATGCAAACCGCAATTAAGGTAATTAATATATTGAGCTGATGCTCTTCCTCAACTGTACTAACACTGCATAAATATGCAAATCGCCATGACAATCAAATGAACTCCATACTTTGAAAACTAACCTAAACCAATGCATTCCATTCTAAACTTTTTATCACAAAATATATTTTTTCTTTCATTTAATTAGACTCGGTTCTAGGTTTGTTTAGACCACCTCATTCGGCATTCATCATGCGTTGACTTGTTTCGATATAACGATAGAAATATGTATTTTTAAATTTGTTTGCATTTGATGTAAATTCATTTTTTGGTTTTGTTGAGAACAATAAAAACAACATATTCGAATTCATAAGAAATCTATACTGACTTTTTGAGTGCAGTAAATATACAAAAAAGAAAATAATTTTTTATGGATAACTGACTTTCCAGATATGTGTTCTATATTAATAAAAAATGTATAAATGGGATGAGTGCTGTATTATATTTACTTTTATTTTTATGCAACATTTTTCGTTAAAATTAAGTTAACTTTTTATTGCTTTCTTTTCATTTTTTATCGTCATTAACTGACCATATCATTGCGATTCACACTGGTTAATCTGTACACTTGATTGATTAAATGCACGTGCACGCTAATAACAGACTTTTCATTACGGCTTAACTTCAGCAAATAGCCAAGAGTTGCGTATGTTGCCATCGTCTCAGTCAGACGACGCTATATACATGCGCAGGTCTCAGATGAAGCACGATGAAGTAGACACAAGCGAAGGACACGGACAGTTGATCACAAGATCTAATTCTTTACATGCTGTGGCAACAATGCATGTAGAGTTCTCCGAAGATGACGATCGCCAATATGAAGAAGATGTTTCTGGAGGAATTGTAACAAACAGTGAAAATGGAGCAGCACGCATACGCGATCTTCCGGCAAGAAAAACAAAAACCAAAGATACATCTGTCACAATCCAAAAACGTTCAAAAGCAGATGTAGGGGCAAAATCAGCAATTTCGGGTATACGGACTCGAAGAAAACTGCGCGAACCAACACCAGAAATTGACGTAGATGTGGAATAACTAAGTGATAGTGTATAAAGATCTCTGCGATAATGTGCTATGCCATACAATTTTCTCACCCACCAACATATACTCGATTTTAGTTTTATTGTAACTTCAGTTTGTACTAATGATACCTTATTTAACACTTCTAATAATAATTGTAATCTCAATATAAATACATATATACCAATCCCTAAAAATCTGAACTTAAATGTGTCAATCGTTTACATGTCTATACATTTGCAATCAGGGAGGCGGTAATCTAGTGCAGACAATTCGCCGAAGCTACAGTTTAAGTGATCTCTCCGAACCAGATATTCACCGTACCCAGGATGAGGTTTGCATATAAATCTCTTCGTGGACTGAAATAAAAATTTGGTTATTTTAGGTCGACGACATCACCACCATGCGACCCCAACAAAGAATGTTACGGCCACGCCTCAATACTCCAGTAGGAAGATCTGCGTCTGGAACTCGCCACTCCACTGGAATGTATTTTACGGAAGTTGATGTCACTGCTAAAGGAGCTGGAGATTTTAAGTGAGATGATTCGTGTTATTTATGTAAAATGTAAATCATAAAATTGTTCACATATTTTGTTTTATAGCTATAACATTCGTTCTTCAGATGACATTAGTTCGGGGTATTCAAGTGCTGAGCCTATGGCTGGAGGTTTAAGCCGTACTTCGTCTATGACAAATGCGTCCAAAACTCGACTCAAGGCAAAGCGATCTGAAGTAAGTAGCGTATAGCATATAACTTCGCAAAATGTCGATTGTGACACACGAGAAATTTTTGAAAAAATACTAATTTTTTTGTACTAGGAAATTTTCGCAATATGGCCATAATTTTTTGGACATATGAGATATAATTTAAAATTTATTAAAGTAAATAGTTGCATTTTCTACATCTCTTACATATATTCGCTCCCTTCTACAACATATGGGCATATTCAAAAAATTAGCTAGATAATGTCGGCCAGTAAGCCCATCTGACAACTAAATTTACAGTTAAGAGACATAATTGTGAATAGAAGTGAAAAGATATTTTTTCAGACCAATAAATTGAAAATAATTTGACAATAAACTTAGTGGTTTTTGCACTATGGTGATTTGACTCTCTTTGATTCAAATCACAATATGTCTTTTGAAAGACATCAGTCAGATGGGATTACTGTCCGACCTTATATAGGCAAAGAGAGTCCCATGGGATATCTGTGTGTTCACCAACACAATTGTAAAAAAACATTGTTTAAAATTTTCTCTCAAAATGGTTTTGGTCGATGATATTTAATTTTTATTTAAAAAAAAAGTGTAACTAAGATGGCCACAGACAACTTGAATGTTTGCTCACAAAAATATATATTTTCATTTTAATTTCGAGAGTGAATGAAAAAGGTTCTGAATATCATTTTGTTTTACATAAACCTATTAAAATTGACTGATTTTTGGCGGCCCACTTATTTATAACTTTTCTTTAAACCATTATCTCAATACCTTAAATATTTGTTTGTGTCATACGAGTTATCTATTCTCTTCCAAAATAATTTATAGTTTATTTAATTTTGTAAATATAACGTCGGTTTTTTATCAAAATATTCTTTAAAAAATCCCACGCCTTTAAGGCTCTTCGTAAAATATTCTTTAAAAAATCCACGCCCTGAAGACTTTTCAAAAAATATTCTTTAAAAACTCCACGCCTTAAAGGCTCTTCAAAAATTATTCTTTAAAAAATCCACGTCTTTAAGGCTCTTCAAAAAATATTCTTTAAAAAATCCACGCCCTGGAGGCTCTTTAAAGAAATATTCTTTAAAAAATTCACGTCTCGAAGGCTCTTTAAAAAAATATTGTTTAAAAAATACAGTCCTCGAATGCTCTTCAAAATATATGAAAACAGATATATAAATAAAAAAATAAATAAATAACAAAATATTTTTCAGTATGTATAGAGGGTCAAAGAAACACTTGCAATATTTTTTATTTCAAAACACATAAAAGCACAAAATAATTTTGAATTTCTCTGCCTAGCCTTTAGTGGTATTCTCTAACCATTTTTTTTTTACTTACCGACAAATATCGGTAACTTTGAAACCCAAAATGTTGATATAAAAAAGGAAATAAAGTTGACAACAATTTCGTTACTTGCCGAAATTACAAGCATCTTAATTTTACCTGTTGGTAACTCAAAAAAATGAGCTGGAGAATTCCACTACCGGACTAAAGCAAGGCAAAGAGTGTGTGTTCCTATTTTCCCAACCCAAAGAATTCAGCCTTGTTTGATTCAATCCACAAAAAAAAAAAACGGTGGAATGCACAACAGTCTTTACTAAGTTTGTTGGATTTACGTATATTTAGAAGACCCCAGCACATTTCCCTCTCTTCATTAAAGAACCCTCAGTATGGACAGCTATACTGCATAAATGTGGATTTTTACGGTTCCAAACGTCCCTGTCAAGCATGTTGATGTCAAGTGGTTTGAAGTTCAACCGTGGTGATTTGTAGTCAATAGAATTGACAGTGGTTTTAGGTAGATTGACTGACTGCGCCATTGTTTAATTTCTCTGAGTCGAAGGACCCACCTAATTGCCTGTTTCTCTACACGAAGACTTAATTGACTTAAGCTAAGTAGGGTATCTAATGCCACCTGAGGTGTGCTCCTGTCAGCACCTGTGATCAATAGCGATACGTCTCTTAGAACTTTATCAATGTCTCAACTGTAGGATAATTTACATAAAGAGTGCCACTAGACTAGAGCTCCATAGGCTAGGATTGGACGATTAGGTGACTCATATATATCTTGATTAAATGCCCAACTTTTACCTATAGATTAGAATAGAGAGCTATTAAGTCTCTCTCTTTGTAAGTTCCTCAGGGTTTCTCTTCCAGTTTAAATAGTGGTCAAGATCAGTACCGAGGTATTTGAATCCCATCCATCTATCCCATCTACCACTGGTGGTAAGAAAACAGGACATTTGGGTTTCCTCATGAAGAGGACGAGTTCTGTTGTTGATGGGTTTAGGCCTAGTCCATTACTATGTGCCCACCTTGACAGTATAACGAGAGCTCCTAATATTAGATATGAAATTGTTTGTAGGATTTCCCCGCGATCAATAAAACCACATATTAGAGATTGGCAACGCCTTTTCTCCCAACGCCTTTTCTGCAGTGTGTCCCTGGTGATTCTGTTGCTGAGCATGGCATCAATCCAATCTGTGAGGAGCTGGGGAACATAAAGTATTGAAAGAGAGTTATGAATGAATTCAAGAGTGACATTATTAAAAGCTCCCTCAATATCGAGAAAAGCTGTCTAGGTGAATAGAAACCCATTCATATTTTTCACGCTGTGACCCATGACATCATGTTAACAATTTATCCTTTCATATAGGCATGCTCAGCAGTGCTGATGGCAGTAGTGGGTAGTAGAACTCTGATTTAAACTTCAATTAAACTGTCTAAGGTTTTTAATAAAAAGGAGAAAATACTTATAGATCTGTAATCATATAGAATTGAATGTCATGTTTTTTTTTTCTCAGCTTTAGATCAGAATTTCTCATAAGACTCTGTACCGTGGATGATTTGACCCTATCCTCAGCCTTAGATATAGATAACTATCTAAGGCTGAGGATAGGGTCAAATCGTCCACGGTATAGATTGTGCTAATGCGCCTTCTTTGGTCTGTAATCATTTGGAAATGAATGACTTGTTTTCCCAGCTTTAGGGATGTAGATGACGGTGAGATAAGCGATCAGAATTTCTCATAAGACTCAGAGTTATTTACAGAATTATCTATATCTAAGGCTGTGGATAGGGTCAAATCATCCACGGTATAGATTGTGGTAATGCGTCTTCTTTGGGTTTTTATGAGGTTTTTGATTAACGCCTTCTACTAAAATCTAAACTAAATATACTTGCTACCCTATAGGTAGGGTTGTTCATACGGCTCCATTTTCGCCACCGTGAGGCTTCCTCCGCTGAAGGAAGATTAGGTTTGGAGGGCTATGACTGGGGGTATGTCTACTTCAGCATTCGTAAAGTGGTTCGGCTGCAGCCGCTTTGCAGTGATGCAGATTGGTCTGTTGTTTTCTTCCGGCTAGTGCAACGGCGCTAGTCGCAACAGATCCCATCCAGTGACGAAATCTAATTTACCCCCACGAGCCTGAAGATATTCCTGGTCCATTCCTGACCAAGCCACTCCCCACTACGCTTGAGTTGTCCGTCTGGAGTTTGGGGTTTTGTTTACCAACCACCCACGGGGGGTGGAGGATGACCATATTTTTCGGTAAGGATTTCCTTCAGGAAAACAGACGCCAGATCGCAACCTTGCTGGACATGTCGTTTCGCAGCAGATGACTTTCACGTCTTTGTAAAGGTTGGCTCTGCCGAACTGGAACTTGTCGGGATCTCTTTTTCCCAGAAAGATTGTCTCTCTCAGACGGTTTTCAATGAACATCCATCGACTTCCTCTGATTTTACCTTCCGACTCAGCTGCGAAGGTTGTTATGGTAAATGATCTTGTCAATTGGCTTGCAGACCGAAGGGGTTGGAACCGTATATTGCGGCAAGGAGGTTTCAACCGCCAAGGATTTCATGGCATCGGAATTGTGGTTCCTCAATGAACCGCCCTCTCTTCAAAGCTGATCGTGAAGAGTGTTTGGTTTCAGTCAGTGACAAGTAAGACTAATTTTATTTTTTTATATTCTGAAATCAACAAATTTATGCATTTATTGTAGATATGTAGAGAATGTATATACTTGAAATAAAGAAGTACATTGCTTTTTGAGATTTAACTTTTCGTCCGTAAGTTTATTCTATTATTAATTTTCGGTAAGAATAGCGTTTATTTTTTGAATCTCATTTTTATTCATATTTTTACTTAAATTTAAACTTCAGGTAAACCATGTCGAACCATGTCGAACTCTTACACGCCTTTCGAGCACACTTGCCCACAAATGCGAGAATATTGAAAACTCAATACATCTAGAAGAATTAACAGACTTTGGAGATACTGATGAGACTAACGAAATGTATGAATCTGACGAATTTTTCGAAACTAAATCTAATGAATCTACTGACACCAGATCTGACGATCTTAGCACAAGTCCTCAACATTCGTGCACTGATGTGTCTATAATAGAAAACAAGGTTAATATAAATATACCACAATTACGGTCAAGCCTTAAGGAAATAGAAAATAATTTTAGGGCGAAAATTGATTTGCCACCAGCAATAGAAACCCCTATTAGACGCTCGTACGTCCACAACAAAGGGCAAGCTCCAAAACCTCCCCAACAAAGCGGTTTAACTTGTATTTCGCATCCAATTTCTTTAACACCAAATGACCAATTCCTGAAGAATAAGCACGCTACTAGTAAAAAGGAAACAGAAATATAATAGCATTCTTGGTAAATATTCAAGGAAAAGTCCTCCCGCCTCAAGTGCTCCCACCTTTTCTGCATAATTTCACAATGCTCTGTCATTAACAATTAGAGATATAAATTAAGTGTTTACTGCCTAAAACCAGCAATGTTTCAAATATTTGATACAAGTCATACTAATAAAAAAAACATACTAATAACAATGTTTGCAGTGTCCTCTAATGTTAAATTTCTTGGCATGAATATTTTGTAATATTGATTTAAATTGTGAATTATAATATATTATTGTTTTTTTAGGATAAAATGTCTGCCAGCTGCACGACCTTGCCGCGTAGCAAAAAAACCGAGAAGGCGATGGGATCTATGACAACTGCAGCGTCAAAAACTCGTAGCAGCAGACTTGAAAAATAAAAAGAAAAATCACCATCTGTATACTTGCGTTCTGGACATAGAGAAACTAACTTCAGTTTCAGATACACAATATACATTATAGATAATAATGCATGCAATATACATGTATCAGTTACGATTTCTAAAATAGACTGTTCGAATCTATTATTTCTTTAGTTACTCAATTAATATGTTAAACTTTCAGACACAAATACAAATAAGTTCAAACGCAAGAACAAAATGTAATAAAATATAAGAGTTGGTTTGATTTTAAAAGCGGAATTAATCATCTGCAGTCAGTCAAGTGTCATAAAATAGGATGAGATCTTGAAAAACGGGGAAATTGATCATTGATTTTTTATATTGAAAATTGGTCGCATTCCATGTAACGTTACTTTCTTATTTTCGGTAAGGGTATGGCCGCAAAAAAGTTTTGCGACTGATGAAACAAATGATGACAATGACATCGATGTAGGAGCAAATGATAACGATTTTAGAACATCAATTAGAAATAATTTCTTGAAAACTTAATGATAAATTTTAATTTTCAGATATTTGAAAATAATGGGCTAAGAAATTGATTTGTAAGTAGTTACGTTTGTCCAAAATTTGATAGGAATCAGCGACGCTTTAAATGGTGCGTGGAATGATGGGGTATTGTTGTAATTGTATTGTTGCAATGTAAATCTCATGTTAAAGTTGATCGACGTTTGGAAAAATAAAGATCAAATACAGAAAAGCGAGTATGTTCCTTTGGTGAGGTTGACAACACAATAAAGTGAAATGTTTCAACAAGTGCGTTGTTATTGCTAAATTGAAACAACGAGTCACTAAAGGGCTAAACCTTTGTATGGAGAATGGAATAACAACAAATCTGTATTTTGAAAAACGTTATGCAAGCCACAAACGGTACAACCGTTGGTACAACTTAGAGAGTAGCCAAGTTGTATGCTTCGACCACAAACGATACAACTTTGTGTACAACTTCTCTTTTAGAAGATTTCATTTGAGTTAAGATGAGACCGGAAATAATTTCGTTATCTATAATTGACCCGATAGCTCTTATTTATTATTAACTATACCCTACAACATTATGTGTTGGGGGTATTATAAGTTTGATTGGGCCAAAAATTATGTAAACCTCGAAATATTGTTTTCCCACATTGGAAAGTATATATGGACCATCCTATCTCGCCGAGCTGAGTGGATCTAGCTATGTATGTCCGTCCATCCGTCTGTGAATGTTAATTTGTGATCACTTCAGGTCGCAATTATGGCCCGATCCTTACGAAATTTAGAATGGAGGTGGGGTTAGAACCTGAATAGAACCCTATTGCTTTTGGAGATGATCGCATAATATTTAGGGGTTGAAATGGACCAAAAACTGAAAAATTTCCTGATTTTGCAGTTGCTCTACAGGTCGCAATTATAGACCAATCGACGCGGAAGTTAGCATGGGGCTGGAGCTTATGGATGGGCAGAAGCCTTCTAATTTTGATGCTCATCGGGTAATATTTAGTGCGTGAAATATACCATAACATTTGTGTTAAACAAATGTCAAAATTTCCATTAAACCACGAATATTTTTAATCCTGGTGAAATCACGAATAGACGAACAGACCAATTCTGACCGTTACATAGTTGCCGATAGTTAATATATCGGATATATATAGCGAAATGTATGCAATGTGTATGTACAAAGGAAGGGGATGTTAGCATGAATGATTATATCTCATGAATAGATGCACCGATTTTGACAAATTTTGTCAATTCAGAATGCCTTCTTGGCATAAAAGTACAAAATCTAAAAAACCGCATAAAAAGATGCCAATAATGATGTTAATATAGATTTTGTAATATTATGTGACTTTTTTATTTTTCATATTTTTTATCGCATGCGATTTTTTCAACTTGATTTATAATATTGAAGTATACATTTTGTAATATTTGTTCACTTTGCAACACAGGTTGAGGTTATTATATAAAGATTGCAATTATCGTCCGATCCTCGCGAAAATTTTCACAAGGGTAGGGTTAGGCTCAGAAGGGGCCTATTGTTTTTGAAGATGTCCACAATATATTTAGGGGTTGAACTGGACCAACAACTAAAAACGTTTGTTGACGTTGACGAATATAGTCAAATATCGTAGATAAGCAAATCATATAGATGAGTCTAAATTTGGAGATACTGAGGGGCCTCTTGCTTTTAAAGATACTGAGGGGCCTCTTTCGCAAAATATTGAACCAAACACAGAAAAAAAATTCCCGATCACACAATTGAAGCCAATCGACACGCCTGAGAAAAGAGTTAGAAACAGGGACGAATTCTAGCATTTTGGATGACCATTGGATTATATTTAGCTGTAAATGGACCACATCACGACGGAGTGCGTAAATATTGGTCAAATGTCCCTGGTCAAAATGCTGAGGGTAAAGCAAAATCTTCCAAAATGGATTTGGACATAAGGGGGCTTCTAACAAATTGTGGTGTTATAGGGTATCACATGGTCGGCCCCGCACGACTATAGCCTTTGCATATTTGTTTTTCAAATTCTATTATTTTATTCGGCAAACGTATGTCAAGTTAAAAGTAGTAGTAGATACCTTTTGTTGCATACATGTGAAAATATACGATTACATGCAACCCGGATACAACCCTGAATTTTTAAAATGTAACGAAGTTGAAGATACGAAGCCAACCTGACAAGGCGTACTAGTTTAAGCTCGTATAATTGATTTTAATAAACGTTTGTGAATTCTTAATTTAATATAAAAACGGTCGTTGTATTTCATTTGAGTATACGGAAACCAACAGACTTCAATCGATCACTTGACATTTTTCTCAGAAGTGGGATACGACAAGTCTTATTGGAAGAAGCGTCTACCAACAAGAAATATGGAGAATTTGCACAAATGCACGGTTAAGCAGTTGCAAGCGAAATGCAGAGAAATTGGTGTTTCTCAAAGTGGTAACAAAAAGCAATTGATCGAACGACTTGAAGTCAACAACGAAAGCGAGCTGCACGGATTCGCATCTCCTCATGATATGCAGGAGCGAATTTCGCATTTGGAAGATATGGTAACTGAATTGCGTTCATCTATGGAGCAACGTGGACAATCAGAATTTGAGCCGAACAACGCATCATCCCCTTTGAACACGTTTTCGACACCGGATGGTAATATGTCCCTGCAAGGCACACGGCCTAGCTTGCCAAACGTGGCAAACGTTGTGACAATATTACCGGAATCACGTTCGATTCCATCGTATGTTCAAACGAATACTTCTTTTGGTGCATTTCAGACTACGTCAACAATTCCAACGGTCCACACGTGTGCTTCTGCTGGTTTACCAACGTTTACACCTTCATTGCACGGACATGCTCAACTTCCACGAAATACAACGCAAAATGTAGCGACGTCATGCTACAACGTACCAACACATATAACGACACATTCGAATTTTACAACAGCAACACCGACAGGAGTGTTCACGCAGCCGAACAATGGATATGTTCAATCAACGCAGCCCTACAACGCATATCTACAACCGCCGATATTTGCAACAAGTGTCTATTCAGCGCCGCCGCAGTCAGAAATAGTTATGCAGCCTTCACAACGTTATGTTCAGCACAACCCCTTTGGGAACGTTAAGGAAATAATTCAACTTTTGCCAGAGTTTAATCCGTCATCTGAAGAATCGATTAATCCTTCACAATTCGTGCGACGTGTGGAATTATTGAAGACAGCTTATAACTGGGACGACGCATCAGTTATATTTGCAGTGCAACAGAAAATGGCTGGCCCAGCCAAGTATTGGGTTGACTCACTGCAAGAGGTATTTCTGTCTTGGCCTCAGTTTGTTAACAAATTTCTTTTAGATTTCCCTCAAAATGTAAATGCAGCCGATGTACACATTAGAATGGCACAGACAAAACGGCAGTTCGACGAAACGCCGCAGGAATATTATTACAGAATGTATGCTATTGGAAAACGGGGCAATATAAATGAATCATCCATAGCACGGCATATAGTCAACGGAATTAATGATCAAGGATTGAAGCAGAAAATATCTAACGAGTATATTACCTGTAATCAACTTTTGAGTGACATCAACGCATACTGTAGTTATAACGAGGTAAGAAGAGTGCTGAACCCGATATCGAATAAGACGAAACGTAGCAATGAAAATAGAACTGCCCCAGAAAGGAAAAGCGATGAAAGAGTGAATAAATTCAAATGTTTTAATTGTGGTAATACTGGTCACAAAGCCGTAGACTGCCCAGATCCACAGAAGAAGAATAGATGTACGATATGCAAACGGACTTCACACGGTGCAAGTGAATGTCCAACAAAAACCCTGAACACAAATGTCAACAATATAAGGGACAGCGTAAAGTCCAACGAAATACTATGTAAACGTGTCAAAGTAAAGGACAAGGAGTTTGAGGCATTTATTGATTCGGGAAGTGATCGGAGTCTGATCAGACGAAGTTTTGCAATGATAATTGGCGAAACGGAAAATTGCAGTATGGTTTTAAATGGCTTTGCTGGTGGCAAATACGAGTGCACAAAGGTGGTTAAAGTGCCAATTGACATTGATGAGACGAGTTACGACGTGAACCTTTATGTTGTGGAAAATTCTATGATCCCGAATGATGTTCTCTTAGGTCGAGATGTTTTATGCCAAAAAGGTCGACGCACCATTATTGAAGGAGATGAGTGTTGGATGCAAAACGTAAATGCGATTAGTATCAACGAAGGCTTAACATCTGAAGAGCATAAGAAGTTGCAGTTGAACATTCAAGAAAACCGACAATGTTTTTCAGAAAAGTCAAGCGAATTGGGTAAGTGTAACTTAGTGAAGATGGAAATCGAAGTTACTACTCCAGAACCAATACGATGCAAGCCATATCGACTAGCATTTGCCAAACGTCCTATTGTGGCAAATATTGTGAAAGACTTACTGGATAACGAAATCATAAGGAAATCGAATTCTCCGTATGCATCGGGAATTGTTTTGGTCGAGAAGAGAAATGGTGAACACCGTTTATGTATAGATTATAGACAGTTGAATCGAATAACCGTACGTATAGCGCATCCTATGCCTGTACTGGATGAACAGATTGCACAACTCGCCGGAAATCGTTATTTCACCACACTCGACTTACGTATGGGTTACCACCAAATTGAAGTAGAGGAAGAATCGAAAAAGTTCACAGCTTTCGTGACTTCAGATGGTCATTATGAATTCAACCGGATGCCATTTGGTTTGGTAAACGCACCTGCAGTTTTTCAGGCAACGATGAACCGAGTTATAAGCTTTATGAAACCAGGAGAAGTTTTAGCGTATCTGGATGACGTCATAATTCCCAGTAAAACAGTCGATGAAGGTCTGGACCGAATAAAAAGATTTTTGGATATCCTTAAGAAATGTGGTCTCACGTTACGATTGGCGAAATGTTCGTTCCTAGCCGAAAAGATTTCTTATTTGGGACACATAGTTACACGTGACGGAATTTTACCTGGAGAAGAAAAAGTAAAAGCGATTAGAAATTTTAAGGTACCAACGAATGTAACAGAAGTACGACGATTCCTTGGCCTAACTAACTTCTTCCGAAAATTTGTAAAGGATTATGCAGCCATTACGAAACCTCTTGCGATGTTGACACGAAAGAGCGAAGAGAATAAATTTCGTTGGGACGTACACCATGAAAACGCATTCAGAAGTTTAATCCAAATTTTGTGTAGTGAACCAGTTTTAGCAATCTACGATATGAAAGCAGATCACGAGGTGCACACGGACGCTAGCAGTCTCGGATTAGCAGGAGTGTTATTACAGTCCGATGGTAATGGTAATTGGCAACCAGTGTTTTATTTTAGCCGCCACTGTTCTGAAACGGAATCGAAATATCACAGTTACGAGCTGGAAGTTTTAGCTGTGGTTGAAACGGTGCAGCGTTTCCGTATATATTTACTTGGAAAGCCATTCCGAATCGTCACTGATTGTGCCGCAATTACTAATGTGAAGACAACGAAGGAATTACAACCTCGAGTAGCACGATGGCTGATGAAATTACTTGAATTTGATTGTGAGTATGTACACCGACAAGGGTCACGTATGGCTCACGTTGATGCTCTCAGCCGTTCACCGGATCAGCCACAGACGGAGATTGAACCAGCAGGGTTCATAATGAATATTGATAGCGATGATTGGATTCTCACGATGCAGCTAAACGACGACCACATAAAGAATATTATGAGAGTACTGCGAAATGAATTGAAATCTGAGCAAGAGAAACAGATAAAATCTGAATACTTATTGGAAAAACATCGACTATACCGGAAAACGAAAAATGGACTACGATTGGTCATACCGAAGGCTATACGATGGCGCATAGCTAAATACTGTCATGATGATATTGGCCATTACGGGTTGGAGAAAAGCCTCTCACGAGTCGAACAAACGTTTTGGTTCCCCCGCATGAGGAAATATATGAAGGAGTACATTGCAGCGTGTGTAGAGTGTTGCTACAACAAGGCAAAAGGTGGTAAACACGAAGGAGCTCTACATTTTAGTAATGTCGAACCGCTACCATTTAGGCAAGTACATATTGATCACTTGGGACCGTTTATAAGAAGCAAGCATGGTCATACACATATAGTGGCAATCGCCGATTCCTTTACGAAATTTGTGGTTATTAAAGCTGTAAGGAATACGAAGACATTGCCCGTCATCAACGTTTTAAATGAGGTTAGTGGATACTTTGGTTTACCTCGAAGAATAATTTCGGACCGTGGGACAGCTTTTACGTCAAAAATGTTTGAGGAATATTGCGATCGAAACAATATTCAACACATTAAGAATGCCGTTCGTACACCAAGAGCCAATGGACAAGTTGAGAGGGTCAATCAACTTATCCTGTCTTATTTACGAACTACCACTGAAGAACCGAAGGATTGGGACTCGGCACTTCACGTTTTACAATGGTCAATCAATTCAACCAAAAATTCGACAACAGGTTACAGTCCGAATGAGTTGATTTTCGATTACAAGCCCACCGACTTAATACAAAACCGATTGTTAGCAGCTGTACAAGATGATGTACAAAACGAAGAAATTTCCATCAACGAAAAACGTATCATGGCCGCAGAAAACATCAAAAGCGAACGAGAACGATGGAAGAAAAGATTTGACAGCAAGCATTCGAATCCGAAATTGTATGTGGAAGGTGACTTGATCCTTATACAGAATGAACCACCAGCGACAGGTGAATCCCGGAAGTTAGAACCTAAATACAAAGGTCCATACATAATAGCACGAGTATTGGGCAACGACAGGTACCTGATAGAGGACATTCCTGGAATAAACATCACGAATAGGAAATTCTGTTCCGTATTCAGTTCCGACAAGTTGAAGAAATGGTGTGAATGTTCCCCCGAATTGGATGTTTCAAGCGAAGATGAAGCCGAGGACGACTTCAGGTCAGGAAAGGCCGAGTTGTCAAGTTAAAAGTAGTAGTAGATACCTTTTGTTGCATACATGTGAAAATATACGATTACATGCAACCCGGATACAACCCTGAATTTTTAAAATGTAACGAAGTTGAAGATACGAAGCCAACCTGACAAGGCGTACTAGTTTAAGCTCGTATAATTGATTTTAATAAACGTTTGTGAATTCTTAATTTAATATAAAAACGGTCGTTGTATTTCATTTGAGTATACGGAAACCAACAGACTTCAATCGATCACTTGACACGTAATTGGTTGTCGTTTCTATAGTCGTTGTCGACTTTATGTGCAAGTCTCCCTCACCGTCAAAAATGGTATTACGGTAAGGCATGGAAGCGACATCGACAGTTTAAAATAAAAGTTGGCAACAATTAAAAAAGCGTCGGCAACACTCACTTGTTATTGACAAAATAAATTATTTCGTTTCTTTCGGAAAAATAAATATAGTAAAAAAATGGATATTTTAAATGCGTCTTAAGTTCAAGTGAGGATGAAGTGGAGAATGTATTAGTACTTCAGCGGCGAGTGCTAAGGCAGCATACAAACATATTTGCATTGCCTGGCTCTTAATTGTGTTGTTCCAAAAGTTTATATTGCTCTTTCAAGAGTTCAATAGTTTCTTCTTTCCGTATTGTTTTTTCTGGGTGATCGAGATGCTTGGATAGTAGTTACTTCAGTCTCGTCATCAGCATTGTCCACTGGCTCATTTTCATGATCTATAACGTCTGTTACATTATGTTTTTCGTATTTTTTACTCCAAGTGCACCACCTGGTGGATTCAGTAACTTTTGAAACTGCATTACATTCGCGAAGGACTCCTCCCAAAGCGACGAAGTCATTTGCTTAAAAATACCACCTCCAGTGCTGCTGGCTTCGCCCTTATAGTGCACAATTGTTTTTTAGTTTTAAATTTTATATCTTTCCAAACTAGAAGAACTTTAGAACACTAACTAATAAAAACATATAAAAATAATTTAAATTTTAACATAATTTTTGCCATTGTCTAAACGGTGACCCGTTTACATTTAATTTAGTAGCAATGGATTACAATCTGATTTAAAATTAGCTGGAAAATGACCTTTGGTAAACCCTTTTGCCAGACATGGTTTTTTTCAATTCGGAAACCAACATTTCAAATTGTTTTTCTGTTGTTATTTTCATGGGTAAATATCTTTTTTTTTTTTTTTTGGTTTATTGAAAAGTAATTGTTGGATAGGTACCCGTAGTACCTATATACCAAGACTAGTTTTGCTTACATATTAGTGAACACTTAAGTAACTAAATAATTGAACGGGTTCCATGGTGAATGTGAAATGTGACATCATTTTTGTTTACAATTCAATTTTGGCTGAAGTAATGAAATTACAGAGTTCCTTGATGACGGTGTTTGTTCGGTGTTTCAATAAAGCAGGTAAGTTGGTAAAATCGTTGAAAATATTGAAGTTACATCTTAGGTGGTGAAATTTATTGCACTCAAAGATCAAATGATTTTCCGTTTCAGGTACATTACAAACATCACACAAATTAGTGTCTGTCAGCTTCATTTTAAACAGGTACGTTTTGCAGTATGAGTGACCCGCTAGGTGTCTATTGATAATTTTAATTTCTCCGGGTTCTAAAGACAGTTCGGCATGTCAGTGTTTTTTTTGGTGGAGATGGAAAAAACTAGAGAAGTATGTGCCTTTTGATAATGTCAATAGTCTATATTTTCTAACCCATTCATCCCATAGGGCTTCATATATTTCCGCACGAGCATCCTTAACGGCTAAATTGGACGAAATGACACAGCCAGCATCCACGGCTTGTCGGACAAAATAATCTGCGCGTTCATTCGATTGGATTCCAATATGGGAAGGAACCCACAGAAAAGTAAGATGACTTATATTTGAATTATTTATCTTACTGATAATTGTGTTTACTAAATAGTTGAGTGAAGTGTTATTTCTTAAGAGTAAACAGGCATTTTTGCTATCGGTCAGGATTACAGCCCTTTGAATTCCATCTTCTAAAATAAGGTCTACGGCCTTATTAATAGCGTTAAGTTCACCCATAAGTGATGAACATTTGGAGTTAATTTTAAAAAGAAAGTTTTGATTCGATGATAAGTTGCAAACTCCACAGCCTGTTGAATTTCCAATAATCGAAGCATCGGTCGCCCATATAGAAGTGCCATTAGATTTGAACTCGTTCATTTTTTCGAGGTAAATACTATGAAAGTATTCTGTTGATTGCGTGTTTTTTCAGCATTAAAAATGTTCATAGCAAATGAAATTTTTTCTCCTGGAATTTCAGAAGGACTTATTTTGGTGTTGTCGAAAATGTGCTTGAATTTATTGTACACCATGCCAAGACTTGTTTTCTTAGATGGGTAAGACGTGAATTTTTCATATGTGTTCAAGTGAAACATTTTGAATTTTAATAATTCTTTGGCAGCAAGGTACTGCGACCGCTGTTCAGGCGGCAGAACAACTGCTAAGGCGTAGATTATGTGTACGGGTGTTGAAGGCGTTAATCCCAAGTTTTTCCTTAGAATTTGGTTCTGACATGTTGTAAGTTTTGTATTGATGTAGTTGGGCATATGAGCCATTGAAGAAATAGAATATTCAAATTTAGAGAACAGGAGTGATTGCGATAAATTTACGGATATTTTAGGGTGAAGTCCACCTGCAACAGAATTAATCATTTTCAAGGCATTTAAAGTAGTATTGCAAGTCTTAATTACTTCATCGTAATGATTTTTTATTGTTAAACTATTTTTTATGTGCCTTCCAAGAACTTTAATTTTGTCAACTGTGTTAATTGATACTCCTTCTATTTTGATTTGTGGTATTTTTCTAGCTTCTTTAGCCACATACATCACAGCTGTTTTATCGGCGTTGACAGAGAGATTAAGCGATTTTAATATTTTAACGAATTCATTAATCTTGCTTTGAAGAATATTGTTAGTTGTGTCAAAATCTTTGTGTGCTGATAGTATTATGAAATCGTCTGCAAACTGAAAAGTTTTAATGCATTGGTTGTTTATACCATGTAAGCCCAGGGTATAAATGTTGAACAAAGTGGGGCTTAGGCAGCTTCCTTGAGGTAGACCGTTATAAATTTCTATACTTTCATTTCCCATTATTAAGATCCTTTTTTTAAGAAATTGGCGATCCACAAAATTATATCAGTCGGACAACAGAGCTCGTTCATGATTTTGACAAGTAGTTCAATTTTAACACATTCGTATGCCTTATTCACATCTAAAGATACAATGATGACTTTATCACCTTGCTCTTTATGATAATTTATTGTGTGTAGGAAATATATGTGTTGTGGGGAAATATGTTATTTTGATCTAGAAAAGTCTGAAGTCTTTCCTTAACCATCAAGTTCATAATTTTGGCGAAAACTGATATCAAAGCGATTGGTCTGTAGTTTGTAAATATTTCCAAGTCTTTGCCTTATTTAGGGATGGGTACAATTTTGATTTTTCTCCATTCATCAAAGAAATGACAATCTTTCCAAGCATTGTTCATAGCACTTAGTAAGTTATGTTTAGCCGTGTCAGACAAATGGTTAACCATTTCATAGGTAACGCCATCTGTACCAGCAGCTGATGGCTTTTTCTTTTCTTGTAAAACAGTTTCAAATTCTTCTGTTGAAAAAATTGGCGATGTATTTGAACTTGTAAAAGTGACTTGAATTGGAGCATTATTGGGAACTTGATCTCTAAGATGGATTAAAAACTGTTTATCGTTTTCAGAAGACCATTTTGTTTTATAAATGGGAGTTGAAGAGTTTTTGCATCCGCGAACAAATTTAAAAAGTGCTTTAGAATTTGGTTCCTTGTTAAGATCCTGAATTTTAGATTTAAAGGACTTCCTTTTGGCAAATTTAACAGCATTGTTAAAAGCTTTCTTAGCCTCAATAAGTTTAGAAGCATTTATGTTGTTGTTGAACATGTCGTACGTTTTTTGAGCTGCTAGCTGAAGTCTGTGTGTTTTTTCTATGACAGAGTCCCACCAAACTTTTGGACATTGTTTATTTTTTTTAAATAAATGTAGATTTTTTTATTTCATCCTTAAACGTTGCATGTATATCATCAAAGCGAGGATTGATATTTGCGTTGTTCAGTGATTCTAGCAACTTTTTCTTAGCTAGAAACCTTTGGTTTGTAAAAATGCTGATACCAATATTAATAACTATTGGGTAATGATGGCTTCCTCCAATTGTAAAAGGTTGTACTTTCCACGAAGTGGTTAACGTAGTATTCGTAAATGACAGATCAAGAACAGAACCAGTTGTGTCAGTTGAGCGTTTTTTAAAGGTGAAGTTTCCATTATTAAGAGAATAAAAATTTGATGAGTCGAAAAAGGATTTGACAATATTTCCTCGATGTCAATCAAACGAGTCTCCATAACATGAATGCCTCGCATTGAAGTCTCCACAGATTAGTAAATCAGCTCGTGATTCCAAAAAGCATAGCAATTTTTCGAGCTCATATTTTATTTCACTAGCTCTAATAGAATGAGGGAAGTATATGGATGCAATGGTTATATTATTTGACATGTTTATTGTTTGGCAAATAATAATGTCCAATGGGGTTTCAAATTGGATCTTTTTGAACTTAATATTATTTTTTAACAGCATGGGAACTCCACCGTAGTTGTCTCTTCTTTTTTTGACACCATATTATAATTGCATATGCTTGTATTATTTTGCGATTCGTCTATATTAGAAATTTCACTCAATACGCAGATGTCGATGTTGAATTTATTCAAGTAGTATGGTATAATTTGAGAAAAGATTAGTACTTCATTAATGTATATTTTTAACCATGTTGACGTTTTAATATTTTATAGTTTTAGTTATTGTGTCATGTTTTAGTAATTTTGGATTGAATATTCCCAATCTTGTCAGTTGCATTCCTAATTCGATATCTTCTATATATTCCATGAACTGTTGTATGTTGAAAGTTAACAAGCTTACTTTGTGTTCTGTTTGTTCTAAATCATAAGTTGAATTTATTCAAGATAGTTCTTGTTTTTGTTGAGGCTTTGAATGTTGTGTTGTAATATTTTCATGACAGTATATTATTTGTGTTGATTTTTTGAAGTGAATTTTTTTGACTTAAATTCGGAGATTGACTATTTTCATTCGATATGATTTTATTTTTTTGTTATTTGCAGGACCTGGTAAGGGGGATTTTCTGAATTTGTCTAATATGTCTAAACCTTCCGTGCAGTTCAGCGAGGTAAGTAACTGAGACATTTGTTTTGTAAAAATTGACATTGTTTTTTCCAGATCTGATACTTTGGAAAAGGATGAATGTTCATAAACAGGGATTGAAGGTGTAACATTGATGGGACTGGCTACTGGATGATTGATAATGGTGCGAGGAGCTGCTATTTTACTGTACATTATTTTTGTGATTCTTCTGTTTATTTCTTCATTAAAGTTTCTTATATTTTGAGTAGAAGATTTACTCATTGGAGGAAATTGAGAATTGTAGTTGCCATCAGCTAAAATGTTGTAATAATTGTGGGATTCTGGGTACGTTTGCAAGACTCCTTTTCGGCTTAGATTTGAAAGAGTCATAAGCGATTTAATTTGTTTTTCAGATCTCCATCTTTCACATTTTCGTTCTTCCGTACAATTGTGATCAATGCCATTGCACAAAATACATTTTGGTGTGTCACATTGTTCCTTGCATTTGGTAGTAGTAAGGCAATCATTGCATTTTTGTTCCTTACATTGGTTTGGACAAATTATTAATTTCCCACAGTCTAGACAGCGTTTAGTTGATCTGCAGCGTATGGCAATGTGGCCAAGACGCCCACAGTTTTTACAAAGACGTACCGGGGGTACATATAAATCAGGTTTAATCCTAGTACCACACATAAAAATAGATTGAGGGACTCCATTACAGATTATTCCAACTTTGACTGTTTCAGTCTCTTCTATTTTGTTATTTTCGGTTTTCCTTGTAAATCTGTATACAGATATTACTTCCATATCATTGTTTTGTTCAATAGATTTTTTTATGGTTACACCATCAAAGGAACATTTTTTATGACATAAAACTTTTGAATAAAACGCTCAGGGATTTCGGCTTTTAATCCAATTTCTTTAAGTTGCTGATTTTGAACAAATGAATTTGCCAGTGCAAAGTTATTGAAAGTAATGCGGAATGTATTGTATCCTATGTTTTTACAAACGTAGTTCGTAGGAAGATTAATTTTTTGAAAAAGGGCATAAAGATGTAGTTCGCAGTTTTTCCTCCTGGAACTAATTGGAGTTTCCGAGGTCACAATAACATAAAATGGTCCCGGATGGTGTTGTGGGTAACAAATCAATCAAATATTTGTTACCCACAACACCATCCGGCATTATAATTGAATTCAATTTTTTCAGACACATCAGAATCATTAGATGAGACTTCTGATACATTTGTGTTTTTGATGGGTTCACCATTATTGTTTATGAATATTTTTTTTTGATTAGACATTAGATGTGCCCTGCGTTTATTTGGGTCCCAGATAGGTGTTGGGGGCGGTTCCCCGTCGGCATCCATTTTTTAGAAAAAAACAAAGTTTTTTTTTTTTTTTCAATTTTCTACTTAATTTTCTTTGTTAAAAAAAATCCAAAAGAAAATCAAAATGTCGCGAAAGCAAAACAAATGTTTGTGTTTGTGTCAATGTGTGTGTGTTGAAAAACAAAACGAGAGTTAAAAGGCGCAGTCTAGCATCAACAAGGGTTGAGTAGCGACTGTGGGTAAATATCAAATACAAAAAAGTTACAATATCAACGTCGACTAAAAAATACAACGCCGTCACAATTTTTTACGGCGACAGATTTTCGACTTCACGTCGAATGTTGTATCGACAATTATAATAGCAATAATTTGTCGCTATCGTCAAAAAACGACAACCCTAATATCATTATTGTCGCTTCGACTTCATTCTGCGACGCCGACGACAACCATAATAGGGCCGATTATTATATTCATGAAAATCACACATCACAACATACCAAAGTTCAAAAATTTTGATTTTTTGTACAACCGAGACACAATTCCATGCAACCGGCCCAAAAACGATACAATCTTGAATACAACCTCTTCGAGTTGTACAACCAGTTGTACCATGTATGGCTTGCAATAAAGTAGAATAGCAAGTAAATGGAACAACAAAAAACTCATACCCGGGACTTACACGTGGCTGGTTAAATGGAAATAGTTGTTTTCGCTGCTGCAAACCGGTTCTAAACCGAACCGCTATTTCTATAAATGGACCGAACTGCTCACACGAACCAAAAATCACATTTCAATGAAAAAAAATGGTTCTGATCAGGTCAATTAGTTGCGCCACCAAAATTAGGATTTTGCGTCGTAATGTAAACATTACAACATAGAGTTAAAGTTGTATAATTCAATATATTTTTACCAATAATATTTTGACATATGTATGTATTTACAAATAACAATGAACCATGCTTCACTCGGAAACCTTGGGTCCATTATCAGCACCACCACGTCCTCGGCATATGTAACTGCCTTCATTCGAAGTTGGTCGAAACTCACAAGTATTTCATTGATCACCCATAGAAGGGGTTGGTGAACTCCTCCTGCAGTTTTCCTAATGGAAATTGTTGAATTGATTACCTGCTTTTTAGCATTCTATCAATCCAATAAATCAGGATAGAGCTTATACTAGGCATAAAGAGCATTGTGGTTCGGCTCTAGTTTCAAATTGTTAAAAGATTCCTCTATATCGAAAAAAACTAGCAAAGCAAAATTGGTGTTTTGCATATTTTTCTAAATGTATTCGACAAATTCGTGTTGAGCTGTCTCCACTGACTGCCCTTTGAAATATACGTGCTGCGATGTACTTATTATATATATATATATAGTCCTTCTTTATTGAATTGCCCCAAAATCATACCTAACGAACAGAATACAAATGGTGTTCAACACATTTATAACTGCTTTAACAAATGTAATACATCATACTAAGGTATTAATGTATGCTGATGACGTAAAATATTTTTACTCTTTCAACAATTCTATGGATCAGATCAAATTTCAATCAGACTTTTGCTCCTTTTATCAATGAAACCAATGGTGTGAGATCAACTTATTAGAACTAAATGCTTTAAAATGTAAAGATTCTTTATATGGCGAAAAATTTATACACATTACTCTCTAAATAAACACAGGGTGGAATCTGTTTCCTTCATTCATTACCTAGATAATACCTTTTTAGATCATACCTTAAACTTTAGAGAACACATTGCTTCAATGGCTAACAAAGCTTATAAAAACCATGGCTTTATAAAAAGGTGGAGCTGATATGTTTTAGATCCGTATATAACTAAACGCTACAATTTAGAGTATGATTAAATAATATGGAACACAGCATATACTATTCATTCAAATTTAATATAATCAATGCATCAACAATTTCTGTTATTCATGGGACACACAGCCATTTCCAACATACGAATATAGATTGCGTCTGATTAAACTGTCATGCTTAATTAGCAGACGCTCTATGCCTAATGTGACATTCGTTTTAAATATCAGTCAAGGAAAAATGTTTAAGATTTCATTTTAGTTCATTAAGTAGAAATACTACAAAATACTCTGATAGCGATACTTTTCTCCGACTTTTAATTGTACCAGTGGCTAACGTTAGAGCACTCCAGCATTTAAATGTGAGTAAATATTTTGTGTCTCGTACCATCGCTCTTTACCGTGATATTGGTGACGTAGCCCTACGTCAAGGAAGTGGACGGATGAAAACACCAACATCAGCAGAAATGGTTCGAAAAGTAAAGAAGCGACTTTATCGAAACCCGCATCGCAGTGGCTGAACAATGGTAAGCTAAAATCGTGAGCTGAATACAACGCAATATTCCATTCGACAAATAAATGAACTCGAGATAAAGCCATTGACATTCCAAAAGGTGCAAGAACTTACACCGCAACAGAAAGGAAATAGACTCGAAAGAGCTAAAGAGTTCCTTCTCTTGGTCGAAAGTGGTGAACTGCCGAATTTGGTTTACTCCGATGAGAAACCATTTGTTGTCCAGCAGATCGTGTTTACTTGCCAAAGAGATAAGTTGAAAATGCGCACCTTCGGTTGGCCATCAGAACTCAAGCGCCGGCCATGGTGATGGTGTGGGCCGCCATAACAGCCGATGGTCGCTCTCCGCTCCTATTAATCGACAGTGGCATCAGAATAAATGCCAGTAGGTTACATCAGTCTCGTCATCAGCATTGTTCACTTGCTCATTTTCATGAACTATAACGTCTATTACACTTATGTTTTCCTTATTTTCTATTCCACGACCTAGTGGATTCAATAACTTTTGAAACTGTATTATATTCGCGACAAACTCCTCCAAAGGCGACAAAGTCATTTGCTTAAAAATGCCACCTCCATTGCTGCTGGTTTCAACCTTGTTGTGCACAAGTTTCTTTTTAGTTTTAATTTTTAAATCTTTCCAAACCTAGAAGAATTTTAGAAAACTAACTAATAAAAACATACAAACATACTTTACCCCCTAAAAGAGAATTGTCTATATAGGTCCACGATATAGTATATCCCCCGATATTCGGTATTTTGATGATTTTTGCGACGTTATCGACCGGAATTGTTTCAAATTTCGTATATAAAGTTCGGAACAGTTACTACAGCCTATGATACAAATTCGTATAGCCCCCATATAGTCTTTCATTTGCGCGGCATTTTCCGACGGATTTTTTTTTTAAATTTTCAAGTTTCTTTTAAATGGTGGATGGTATAAAAAGTTCGGCTTGGCCAAACTTAGCTCTTTTTATACCCTCCACCATACTATGGAGGGTATATTAACTTTGTCATTCCGTTTGTAACTCCTCGAAATACTCATGTCAGACCCAACAAAGTATATATATTCTTGATCAGTTTTTTTGTTGTTGCAAAATGGTCTGGCTTTATCCCTTTATTGTTGTTTTTATAAAAACAACGTTTGTTTATTAGTAGAGAAAGATCAGCGTAAAATTCTAAATCGATTTAGCGATGTCCGTCTGTCTGTTGTAATCCCGCTATCTTTCGAATGAATTGAGAAAGATGGCTAAAATTTTGCACACATGTTTATTTTCCCAGTAGGCAGGTTAAGTTCGTAAATGGGCCATGTAGGTCCACGTTTTCATATAGCCTCCATATAACGGTACCTCCCTATATTCGGTATTTTGATGATTTTAGCGACATTTTTCACGGGAATTGTTTCAAATTCGGTACTTGAAGTTCAAAATGAATACTACACCCTAAGACGGAAAATTGTCTGTGCAGGTCCACGTCTTCGTATAGCCCCCCATATAACGATACCTCCCGATATTCGGTATTTTGATGATTTTAGCGACATTATTCATGGGAATTGCTTCAAATTTGGTATTTGAAGTTCAAAATGGATACTACACCCTAAGACAGAAAATTGTCTGTACAGGTCCACGTCTTCATATAGCCCCC